CCCCCCCTGGCCCCCCCCCTTCCTACGCCACTGCATACTTAAAAAATTGTTTTTTATACCAGTTCTTTATGTAAATTCTAAATAGGTATGCCATCGAAATTAAGCTAAAAATTATTTAAATGACCGCGATTAAGGGTTATTTAAAATTTGCGATTTTTTTGCCATTAAATGTTCAAACTGAATTATCCAAAAAACGGTCTCTCCGATTTTCGATTTTTTTTCCACTCCAATAAGCTTAGGATATGAACTTTTTAATGATATAATTTTTTAATTACCATTGGACAGTCAAAGGCCTAAAAAACTTCAAGTGGGCTAAAAAAGGTCAGAAATTGATAAAAAGTAGACGATTTTTTACACGCATTAACCAAAGTTTCTCAAAAATAAAGACTTCCAGTATCAATATTTTTTTTTCTAGTTCAACCTCATCATGTATACCTAGAATCGATTTATCAACACTTAGAGATACTCGTCGATCGATTAACCACCTTAAGAAAATAGAAATCGGCCGGAAATGCTGCAAAATGACGGAAAAAGATAATTTTTTGTCTGGTAATGGGTTTATGTCGCGAGGAATCGCTGCCATTACTAATTTTCTATCTTCATCCTGAGGCACACTTGGTACTTAGAACTATTAAATGTGCATCGATGGGTTACGGATCCGAACGGAAATGGAAATCGGCCGGAAATGCTCCAAAATGACGGAAAAACGTGGTTTTCCGCCCGCCTACCGCAAGTTTTTTTTTTTTTTTTTTTTTCACGTGGAGGAGGTTGAGGCGAATCCGTCGACGGACGATGTCCAAGTAGGGACCAAGTGTGCCTTAGCTTCGATTTGACTGAGTATCCCAGCAAAAGTTTCTTTAAAATGTGTGAATTTATTTTGAATAAGAAATTGAGGTTTGGCTCGGACATTGTTTACGTGCAGGAACAAAATATTGGTGATTAAAATTGACGATAAACAATGCGAAAATGTGAAAGCTAAACTTTCAGAGAGGGTGAGACATCATGCAGGCTTTCCATACACCCTTATCATTTATTAGCTGGAAAACTCAGGATTACCAATCTCAAGAGTTTATTTAAACCCAAAAAAAAGCCACGATACAAGCGAAATAGAGTAATAATAGGACAAAGCGTAACCATAGAAACCAGAGTTGTAGAATCTGAGGAGAAGCCTAAGTTCTTGACTTGACCTAACCGCAGCATTTGAAGCCATGAATTGACTAATGAGCTTAATCAAAAGAGAAGGAAGAGGCCGACCCTGGGGGTAGTTATATACTCTGAGTCACCTTTTCTTTGATACAGCTCGAGGATGAGAGGAACTAAAATATAAACCTCTCCATAAAAGTACCTCATACACTGACGCGGAGTAGAAACCGAGATGTGAAGGTACACGTTATACAAAGCCAAAAACTTGTATGAAAACAACGTAAAAAACATAAATGCGGAGAGCGGAAGGAACCAAAGCTGCCGCTGTATCACGACGGAGCAATGAAGGTTATAATATTTGGCCGATGAGCTCTATAATTAAAAGAGAAGGGAGAGACCGATCGCGGGGTCAGTTACTCTGAGTCACCTTGTATTAGCTCAGACCAAAATAACAGGAAGTACTTACCTAAATTGAAATATCAAGCTACCTTCCAA